GCTAGTATTACTATTATTAGAATGTTGTTAATCACCTCTGTTCACCCTCATAACCTCCCCATGGCCCAAGAAATCCATTGATATCCTCAGGGTTGTCATTCTTGGTCCTCTTTTTCTTGTCAAGCGGCCTCTTCTTTATGGTTTCAAACACTGATTTGCCGATTGCCTCTTCTGGCGGTGCTATCATTGCTGACACTGTAAATTTTAATAAGAAGATGTTAATTCAACAGATTTTTTATCAATACATAGTATAAAACAAAGTCGCTTTCGCTGTATGTCCGTATGTATGCTTAGATCTTTAAAACTACGTAACGGATTTTGATGCGGTTTTTTTTAATAGATAGAGTGATTCTTAAGGATGGTTTGTATGTATAATACATGGATATTGCACCCGTGCGAAGCCGGGGCGGGTCGCTAGTATTCATCTATTCTAAGAGTTGAGTTGATTTTATAAAAGAACTAGCTACTTCCGCGTGGTTTCACACGCTCTACTCAGCTCCTATTGGTCGTACCGTGATGTCTTATAGCCTATAGCCATCCTCGATAAATGCGCTATCCAACACAAAAAGCATTATTCAAATCAGACTTGTAGTTACGGAGATTAGTGCGTTTAAATAAACAAACAAAAAACCAACTCTTCCGCTTTATATAATTGTATAAGATTTATTTGTAAAATGTATTTGGTTTTATTATTATAAATTGCACACAACTGCAGTAGCAGTTCATTTGTACGAGCAATAATGTGTGTGATAAGTGTAACCATTGTTGTATAAAAAAATATTCTTATTGATTCAGACCTCATTCAGACCTTTTTCAGACTACTTAATAATTATTTTTTTACATTTACATCCACAATATACAAAATACATACCAACTACAGCATCGCCAGCGGCTTCACTGTCTGTAGACGGGTCTACAGCATGTCCGTAACTAGTAAATGTTCGCCTTTGATTCTCAAACTGAAAGTCACTTATATGTGCCTTCTCTACGTAACCCGACAAGATGTTCCTATTTGCTTTCATCTGTTGCGTTTGGAACGGATTCTCTGGACCGTATGTAGGAGCAAATAGTTCTTCGTACTTAGGATTATGCATTAATTCTTGATTATTAGGTAACAAAACTCTTGTGTCGTCGCTGTTCTGTAATAAGAAAGCAAGATATAGGTGTTTGGTCAAAGAAAGTTTTAATATAAAATATGAAGATGTAAACTGTGATCCCTATGATCACAGTTTACATCTGCGTAATGAAGAATTTTAATAGGAATAATATTAGATCAAGTAAACACAGATCGTTTTAACACAGTTCTAAGAGATAACCATGACTTCTTGACAGTTTGAGTCATGGATAAGAATTTACTGTTTTGAGCTTATTACATATTAACACAATAGTAATTAATGATATTCATAACGTACCGTGGGCATTACGATGGGCGCTGCACATACTTGCATCGATTTAGCCACGGAAAAGTTAGAATCAACTGGTTTCAAGTGTGATAATAACTTTTCGTTGCTCTCTCCTTTAATAGTTTCCGCCTCATTATCCTCTTCTTCCTCTGAACTGCTACCGTAGTTTTGTATATTTAACATTCTGTTCAACGTCTAATTAACTAATATACCAAATGCTTATAAAATATTTCATTCATAACAAAAACAATGTGTTTTCGTGAAATTACAAAATTACAACGAAGCGTCCCGTTCACGTCTCTATAACTGCTGTCATGAGAGACAGTGATAGAAGATGTGTGCTTTCAAATTTACGCCGAGTGGGATAGAGACAAGTGATTTATATGCTATTAATTGCAACTATCGTTTGCATGGAACGGTAGGCCAATGTCGTGTCATGGTAACAGCAAATAATTCGTTTAGAAATAACAATTAAATTGTATTGAGGAGCTAGAATAAAATAAGAAAAGCTAATTTTACTCAACTTACCGGAAGGTACAACTGAAAACATTTGTTATATTAAATCTGCAAAAAGGATAAAATAGAAGTCTTCTTAATTTCCGAACGGATATCGGTGAAACTGACTAGAATATCATCTCATTTATTTTTTTTACATGGAAACTATTCTGTTTTTTGACAACTTGAGGAGTATTCAGAAGTACCAACCAAACGCTTGTAAAAATCTATTCAAGTCAGGTGACGAGCCCTTGTGACAGTTCATTATTTCTCATAAATATAATAAAAACCAAGAAAAACATTAAACATGGCACTGAGCATGGCAGTTAAGGGTAAATTGATCAGCGTCATCGGCGATGAGGTGAGAAATTTGTATTCTATGATCTAACTAAGGTATTCATCTGACAGGCCCTATGTCCTGAAACTCTTCGAGTTTTCTAGCAATTATTGCGAATATTTGTAAAGAATCGTGAAATATTTAATTCCAGGATACTTGCGTCGGTTTCCTGCTGGGCGGGATTGGTGAAATCAACAAAAACAGACACCCCAACTTCATGGTTGTTGACAAAAGTAAGTCTCATTCCTTTTTCTTACTGTCAGATAAAAAGAAATGTATATTCTAAGTAGAATCATCTTAGAAAAATATTATGAACTCTAATACATTTGCTTTAACTATATCTTTTACAATTCAGGCAATTTTCATGATGGGTTTCATACATTACTCTTACAATAATAAACCAAATGAAATAGTTAATTAAAAAAAAAAACAATTATTTATTTTCCTTTTAAAGTAATATATCTAACAAATAGTAAATGGTCAAATCAATTAGTACCCTAAAAACTGCAAATTGCCCAGCTGGCCTAGCTTATGAATCCTACATACTTCTTAGCTCCCTTAATGATCATTATATCTTTTTATACAAGCATGCCAGAGAAGATTCCTCTGCATTTGGGATATTTATAGAATCCTTTTAACTGGGCCAGCAATGTCAGCATCACATTATTGTACTAGGGTGGTGGCCGTCAGTATTACCACTGATTATCATAAAAAAATTTGGATAGTTGATAAAGACATCTAGAAATAATTTGAAGAATAGCTTAATTGATATTATGCTAAATGTACTTACTATACCAAACTGTTTTTGCATTGTGGTAAATCATCACTTCACCTGCAAATTTTATCAGTGACAGCAATCTCTCGCATCCGGCTCTGGTTCAACCCATGGCGAGCCAGGGGGACTGGGATGTTGTCTCCTCCTTCTGTGAAGTAGTTATGCTAGCCAAAGAGGAGACGGGGCGCGTGAGGGAACGAACCCGAACGAACGCCACAGCTGTCGCGGGAGACATGCCGAGCGTCGGAGATAGCGAGACGATCTCCGGCCACCGTTAGCGCGGGTCTGCGGACGGTGAGCAAGGGTACCTCGCCGCCCGACCAGAACCAGACCAGTACGTACGGCACATCGCGTTCCGAGCGCGTCTCAAAGAGCCATCAGACCACTACAGATAGGGCCCAGCAGGGCTGATGGCCGCCGATACGTACGGAGCCGCGGAAGGCCTAGCGGGTTGCCGGGGCTCCGGCTCGAAGAGCAAGAGTAGGAACAGGGTGGTTTTTAGTCAGTAAGAGTCTGACACTCCCTCTTGCCTAACCCAAGGCTGGAGAAGACATTGGTAGATTTTCACCCTCAGAAAAAATCTGCATATTTTACTTAACTGTACTAGATGTCATCTTGATTTGATAAAAATATGATTTATAACCACCTAAAGTCAAAAAAGTTTGAATATTAATAAATCATTCTTTATCAATCAAAACAAAATTTATCAATTTTCCCAAACAAAGTCATGATATGAAGTAATCTAAACAACATTGCAGTCTTTGTTTGTGTCACAATCTCAAGAAAAATTTAAGATGCAATGGAAGAATGCAGTTGGTGGAAAATGATGCTGTCTCCAGAATCATTTAAATAAAATTTATTTGTATCACCTATCTGTTTAGCTGCAACCAATATTTTGTCATGTCATTTCAAATTCTAAGACGATAGTATGAGTTCTCATTAAGATAAGCTTATTTATTATTTTATTAAATTATACATATTTCATTAATTTTAAGGGAAAACAATTTTTCAAATTCTAATTGAACTCATTTGCAACAATCCAGATGTTGATGTTCTAATACTGTTAAAATAAAATGTTACAGACACACCAGTGAGCGAGATTGAGGAATGCTTCAGACGATTTGTGAAGCGTGATGACATTGACATCATCTTGATCAACCAGAACATCGCTGAGATGATCCGACATGTGATTGACAGTCACTCCGCTCCAGTGCCTGCAGTACTTGAGATCCCATCCAAGGATCATCCTTATGATGCTAGCAAGGACTCCATCCTGCGTCGTGCCAAGGTAGACAAAAATCATCATATTATTTTTTTAGTCATTTTTAATACGAAGCAATACTTGCTTTTCAACAGTTATTTTGTGAGGTAACTAGGAGTAGTTAAACAAGAGACAAATCTGAAGGTTTCTTTTTACTATTGTATGAAAAAATAACACACTTGTTTTTCCTCTTTTTCATCGAAACTTGCACACAATGCAATATTAATTGATGTATTCCCTCGCGACATTCTCCAACAACCAGTTTAATCCACAAAACAGTATTTGGAACCTTATTAGTATTTAAAAAATCCTATTGTGCTAAGTTAGACGTAATTCATTAACTTCGTAAGTAATAAATATATCTTAACTAAGAAACTAATTATTTATTTCGCTATTTCAGGGCATGTTCAACCCAGAAGACTTGGTACGCTAAAACTAATTTATTGCATGATATTGTTGTCTGCGCATCAGACGGCCCCTGTATATACGCCAGCTGTGTACCAACATTACAGACTAACAATAAGTGTGACCATCCATCCATTATAATGACGTGCATTCACTTGACAACTATGACATCACATTTTGACTTGGCGCCAAAATGTTCAACTTGTTATAAAAAAAAAATGTTACTGAAAGGTGAAAGGGCGCAAAAAAATCTGTTATGTGTTGATCTGTCATCTCTTTTGTCAGTTGCCTAGTGAATGCATGTCTACAGTTTTCAGTGTGCAATTTTTAATTTAAACTAAAGCAGTTAACTATAACATTCCACATCCCAGAAACATTTATTTTAACTGTTACAGCGAATGATCCCGTTATTTAATGTGATAATGATAAAATTATTCAAATAAATATGTAAGGTTGGAAGTTCAGTAAAGTGGCTCGCGCCATTATCGAGATGTTTCGTGTCTAAAATGAATTATATCTTTTTAATTTTTATTTATGTGTCGTTGGCACAAAATATTTTATTATTTATTTTATTTAATGCGACTTTAGTGTGGTTCCAGCCTAAATTTACAGAGTATTAATCAATCATGTATAGATTTGTTGAAGTTGTATTATAGAATATAAAATACCAGTTTGTTGTTTTATTTACTTTTTGAGTTTCTAGTTTAGTTTTGAGTGTTTGTGCTGCTTATCTAACAACAAATAAATGGTTTTTAATTTACATATTTTGGCAAATGTTTGAGCTGGCATGGTAACCAAATACATTTCATTTTTAATGGCCAATATTGAGCTTCCATGTTTTCATCTGCGTAACTTTTTCTATCAAAATTGAAGTTGAATGACAGTTGCATTTTATCGACACATCAGACCCAGAATAACAATTTGTGGAGTTGCGTGTGATGCAGAAGTCGAACCTGCAACATGTTGCGCAACATCGATCCTAGCACAACATTCCTCCAATGAAAAATTCTGTAGTCAATGTGTACCATGATACATACTAACTTCTAAAAAGATTGCTACATAACTTCATAAAGTTTAAAGATTAATTAGACTCCCAAAGCTCAAACCTAAATCTTGCAATGGTCTTAACAATAAACCATTTATTTGTATGTTATTCGAGCAGTATCAAATGACATCGCCATCAAAATTGTAACATGAGCATGTTTGGAAAATGCGAAGAGTTTGTTTTTATGTGGCCCTTGGCGTTATGCGTGTCTTTCAGCTTCAGGAACATAGTCTAGCTGCGTTGTTTGTGGAAAGGAATCGTTGTATTCATTCCTGTGCATAAGAAAAAAAAGTGTGGATCATCATCATTGTCTATGATGTATAAACTGTTGTTTTACTAATGGTTACATTTTTACATTTTGGAGTTGTTTCGTGTGTTGTGTACCTATATCTGATCTGAGTGAGTATGTTATTGGTCAAATATTTACCTATAAAGTTATATTTCATAGAGATGAAATAATAATGCATTTATTTTTATTTTACAGTCAATGTTTGGAGCTGATAACTTCTCAAATTAATTACTGAAAATTGTTCCGTATTATATTTTTATTATTGGCCCTCTATTTATTTATGTACCTCTATTTTGTAATAAAACTAAAAACATAGATTTATATTTTTATTTTCAAAGATTATTAACAAACTTACACTATAATACTCTATTCACACAAATATACAATATAATACAGTGCACACAACCATAATATAGTTATAAAAAACAAAATGGTAACAAATTGGTTGCTTATTTGGTATCAAAAAATGAGCTATATACCCGTAATGAAAGTTTGGGTGATTGGTTATTAGTTGTTAGATTTGTGACAGGTCGTTAATCTTTGGTGGTTTATTCGTCGAACTCAGCAACGTCATTCTCGGCCTTCTTGTGGCCGACCCAGTCCCACTTGGAGTAGTGGAGTTTAGTCTTCTTAAATTTGGGATTCTTCGATGTTATACGAACAAATATACGCCGGCCAAATAGCGGTTGTAACTGTCTAAAGTTGTCCACGAGAGGCAAGTTCAGGTTAGACAGGAGACCGCGGAAGTTGTCCATCTGTGGAGGACAGAGACATTTGGATCATCCAACTTCATCTTAAAGATAATTGCAACTTGGTCAGTAAACCTTACCCAAAATTACTGAGAAAGAACAAGATTCCAAAATGGCCATTTTGCAACTCTGTTAATTATTTGATAATTATCAGAATTACCTTTACCAAATACTATATTCCTTACGAAATAACGTTTCCAAGTGCATAAAATACAAAAAATTACCTGGAACACGGAGATTGGAAGGTAGTCTGAGAAGACGACCCATGTGACGGCTTCGGCGCAAGGGGGCGTGGTCAGAGATCCCTTGTAAGTGTAGAAACGCTCAGTATCCAATCCTGAGAGGATGGAGGACAGGGAGAAGGTATGTGGCAGTTGCATGGAGGTGTTATAGTTCTCAATAGCTGACAGATTCTTGACGATGGGAGTCAGGAGCTTGGCATCGAATTCTACAACCTGCAACAGATAATGGGTGGTGAAAATTGTCCTTCGAAGCTGAAACAGTTCAACTGTGCGTATGGTGGAACTGGAAAAAAACGAATAGCGAGTCTACTATTATTAGGCTCAAATAGGCTACTCTAGGCAACTGGACACTACATGATTTAAAGAACCGAAGTTCCAAGGTCACTGGCGACAGGAGAGACCTGTAGACGGGAAAGGCTCATACTGATAAAATGAAATACTACGTACTTGGTAGAAGAATGCAAGCACGCAAAGACCATCAGGGTGCTGCAGGGCTTCGGCGAGGTTCCTATACTTCTTATTCCTGTGAATGATATGCATTTCCAAAGGCAATCGCATATCATTGAGAGTATGTTCAGAACCTCGGTTGTTTTTGTCTCCCCAGTGGAAGTGTAGGCCTTCAATCTCGTACTCATTGTCCAAGGGGCCTCCGAAGATGAAGGGAAGACGGAATCCTTTCTTTTCTTCTTCAGAACTGTACTTGGGAATGGTGAGGGCAACTGAAAATTGATCAGGAATTATATAAGTGTCAAGGTTTTGGAATCGGTAATTAGTGTTAGTTTATACACTTTAAAATTATGCCTTCCAAGACTTAGCCATAACTAAATATTCATTTTGGGAGCGGTTGGCACGTTTCATAAATGGTTTACAGCTATATGAAGATTTTGAGCTTTAATTTGCTATACGAAAATTGGTCTTACATCAACTGAGTTTAAGTTCCTCCTGTTTCCTCACCTGAATGTCCATTGTTGGTGATTGTAAGAGGACCAGGCAATGGGTTTTGGTAGCCGATCAATTCCATAGCAGGTATGGAGATGGGGATTGCTTGACGAGCAGCTATGGCGATGGGGGACTGTTGCCGACCTCCACAAGCTGGGTGGAGGACGGCCCAGCGCCTCTGATCAGAGGCTCTGTAACCCCAACCAAAGACTAGAGAAACTGGAAGAGAAATAAATTATTAATTACATTTTGTCCCAGTAATTCAGTAGGCAGCTACTATCAGAAAAAAATCGTGGGGATTTTTTGGACGTACTTCATTGACTCATCTCAATAATTTTGATTTAAGCACCGAATACCGTGAGGTAACGTAGGGTTTATTAATTTTTCATCAATTTTGTGAGCACCACTCCCACCCTCAGAATTTCGAGTTTTCGTACGTCTTTTTCAACTCATTTCAATGTTTTTTACTTGGTTTGCCTCCGTATGCTGGGCCTTGTTGTCAATTAAGCTGACAATTTGTTGGCAATCTGTTGGCAATTTCTTAAGAAAAATATCTAGATCTAAGCCCCACTGTCCACTACGCGTCGTGTGACGAATGCATGCAACCTACAAATGGCCAGGTAGATTTTTATGAAGAGTGACTGACGCAACGTTGCTTCTCCGTGGACACAGCCAGATGCATTTGTCGCTTGTAGGCCGCATATTGTTTGTGAAGTTTATTATTCATGCATTTGTCAAATGACAACGTGGACAGTTACCCTTACAATCTTCAATTCATCAAAGCGTGCGCATGAAGTGCAGCTTACATTAGCTTAAATTCTAGGAACACTTGACTAGGAAAATTAATAGCAGGTGTGAAATAAAAGAAAATGGCTGTCTTAAGAATAAAAAGGGCGTCACCTTTTCCTTAATCCAAATCAAGTTATTCTAAGTTTGCTAAAATATCCAATCCGCGTGCCAAACGTTAGAGATTGTATAAAACCTCTTCCTTCATAGAGGAGGCCTGAACTCCAGCCGTGGACTCCCACAGGATGTTGATGATGAGTTTGAAAATAAATCATGTTTATTTAAAGTTCAACAACCCACAGCAATTGTTCGCACTCCGCACCGTGATATTTCCATACAACTGACTTGTTTTCAAAACATTTGGTGATAATATAATAATAACAATAATCATCGGATTATCTCGTAGGATGTTTTGGTAATACAACATTGTTACCCACTGCACATTGTTATAAACAATATCAATAAATCATTCGTTCATAATAAATGATCCGATCATTTTACTACAATAACAATAACGCGTTTGTTTTTACTGTTTTGGTTTTTTTTTCGCTATACAATACTTCCTGCACAGATGGTGCAGTGGTTGGGCAAGCAACCGACTCCTGCGCAAAGCGCAATGTGTTGCGGATTCCACACGCACTCACGACACAGGAGCAATACCTGGTGTGGGCAATGTTTAAAAAAAGCAAGAAAGAATATGTTTCTGTACGTTAAAGTCCTTTCTAACAGCTTTCTAAGTGACGTTAACAAAATATCAAAGTAATTAACCATTTTTTCATTTCAACGCCCTGACAATTGGTCATTTAACCCAAACATACATTGGTCGTTAGAGGCCATAAAATCAAACGCAATGAGATTACAAATTGCTGAATTATAAATTAAAAAGTCGTCAATAAATTTTAAACTCCAAATACGAGTTACTCATTATTCTATATGCGAAGCGGGAGTATCCTTTTCGGTTGTGACAATCATAAATTTTTTGTACAACAAGAATGTCGAATTATGCTAAACGAGTAACATATTAACTATGTGGGAATGCTAATTTTTAGGGGTCTTTGGGTAACGTAAGGAATATAAAAACGTTTTTTTTTTCAACGTGGCGCAGTACTGGTACTTTAGTTCGAAAAAAATACTGATTTTTGACCAAATAAATAATATCCCGACATTTCGGTTACCCAGCCACTGCAACAACCGTGCAGTCTATTTCTATTTTAATATGCAAACAACAGTTATTCTTGTCTGTATCTCTTTATAATTACTTAATTGGTATGTAACTACTCATTTAACACCACCTATGATGACCCAATAAAATGATCGACCGCAAAAACCATGCTAAACATATTAGAAGAAAATGTGTTATCCACAGCTATTCCCGATAAACGGAACCCAATACAGGCGAGTCCGTGTCAGCCGTGGAAGTTTTTCATTAATTTAGTAATCCACTTGCGATTTAGTTATGCATACCTAGATTTATGCGACTGTCAATCAAACTGTTCATTTAAATGTCCTAGGATTAGACCAGTTTTTTTATACATTGAAACTGATAATACTTGTCTGTGCAAGGCATGTATTGGTTCAGCAATATCGTATTGCAAATTAAAATTATAAAAGTGTAGGTATATAGCATGTAATAAAAGTGACAGGCGTGCTTGTATTAAATTAGCATGCGATATTAGGTCATTATCTAGGTTATAGAAAAATATAGTTTTGTACCTAATATAATGTATCATTAGATAATAGGATAAAAAGCAGTAAAGCAATATAAAAAAGTGCCTAATATCGAAAAATCACATTGCTCAAATGCGAAAGGATAATGTGTGAAAATACGATGCACGTAAAATTGTCAATCAAATTACCCTTTCCTGGCGTTGGTGTGGTACCTTAAAATAGAAAAATCTTCGTACATTGATTCGATTCGACCCTCGTATTTTTAAAACTAAATTTTTATTGCTCTATTTATTTCTAATATCATAAAATTAAGCCCTGTGCTAACGACATAGTGGAATATATTTGTCAGGGCTGGCTAAAGGGCTATAGGCCTGTTACTGAATCGTCTGCCAAGATTGGAAATTATAGCAAACATATTTTATGTACAGGAGGTCTATAGTCTATGATTACGATTAATCATTTAATCTCCCCAATCTCTGAATCCCCAAGAATCCTCAAACTCATTATCCCCAAAAGGGCGGTAACGCACTTCTAACGCCTCTGGTGTCCCCATGGAAGACGCCGATTGCGTACCATCAGGTGATCCTCCTTTTGCTAGTTTACCGGCTTATCCCATAAAAAAATTAAGCACTTCTTCAAACACATTACTTAACTTTGTTAACACTTTTGCCGTAATTTTTAATGACATTCAAGAATGAGGTGCAGTCAAGTCTACAAATTAACATTCCTGGTCACATGAAGAATTTATCTGTTAGATAAATTCGTGACTAGTGGGCCGAATTCCTTTGTTAATCCATAACATTGCATGTTATTTATCATTTAGTTTACGCACGATGCATTTAATAGAAAATTTATTTGTCAAATACTATCGACCTCTATGGAGATTGTATAACAACAATTGAGGTCAAGCTTGCAAATTATATTTGCATACGATGTTGCAATTTTCAGTGATCGATTATTATGATAGAATTTACAGATGCCTTGAATTATATTTAGCGTTAGAATTTTGAATACCCATTGCCGTATCTGTCGTCAGGCAGAATAAAAAGCACCCTTTTCACCCTTGGATTTAGAGGTGAGGCTTCATACGCATTTGATAAAGTCGGACAGCGTCTCTCTCTCTGATAAGACTAAACGTTCTTATCTGCCATCTCCAACCTTCCTGTTCAGCGTCAAGATAAGCCAATCTCTTTTATATTAAGTAGAGGAGGCCTACAATCGAGCTGTAGGTAGGTGATGTTACGAATGAAGTTGATGATCGCCTGATGAAGTTAAAAGATTCTTAACTTAATACGAATGTTTTGACTAACGTTCTTTTTATGAAGTGTCAATTTATACAGGTTCATTTGTTAGGCTAGATATAGGTCCAAAATTAATTATTTCGTGCAGACATGAATATGTAATATCTAGGTAATTGTCACACGATGTTCTAGAGGTAAGTTTCGTGTTTTATTAGTATAAGCGTCCTTCGCGTTGTTACTTTTTAGATTTACATTGCGTGCTAAAATGCCATAGCATGGGTTTGGCTACTTATCTATTCCAGATCGGACAAACCTAATTTAGTTTCACGTGTATAAAATGCGTTATAACATTGAACTACTTAATTTTGGTTGCTTTATTCTGTTCGCTGTCTGTATTGTATTTTTCTTTCAAATCTATCTTTATATGAATGAATTAGTTGTTTTTATTAATCTATCTAATACGTAGTACCGAATTAGCTTATGGAAGATACGAAATTAAACTAAACTGCAGTTAATAAAAGGCAATCGTACGTTCCATAGGGACGGGGAACCGTAACGACCGAAATCCACAATCTTCGATTCTGGACGATCCAGAGATTATAAACGGTTATTAAATTCGGCCCTAAAAGACCATTACGCGAATTGAACGATGCTCTAATTGTTTAAAAAGTTTTTGTACACTCACAAAAGCCATTGTTTACTAACAAAAAATTTCATTCAGTATCAACTACGGCGTGAGCTATTGCATTGTTATTGTTTACAAATCCCGATTATGTACTGTTTTATTTACCTCGGTAAACAAGACGCATACCTACTTCAAAATGTTATCGTTACATTTTGCATAACGAAAACATTATTTAAATTAAAAATAACCCTATTTTAATTTGACATAATTTGGTATAGAGAAAGAATTTATAGGGTCAGTCTCTAATGGATTTCTTTATAGTAAATCAAGATTAGTTTGAACCCAGGTTTTCTCTAAAAACGTATTTTAACGAAAGGGAGTGAAGAAAGAAATTGATTTTGATTCTTAATATAACGCAACTTTTCGCTCATTAGGTACATTAGAAACCCAATAATGATGTACCAATCTTAGGCTCCAGAGGAAATCTACAATAATTCATCGCTCAAATTATAGATACACACAATCAAAACATATTTGTAACGTTTTCTGCTATTATTGTGCTTTATGAATTATCCACATATTAAATAATACACGATTAGATATACATAGTGAAACTGTATGGAAATTACAACATCAGAACAGCCAATTAAGTCTTAAAAGTCTGCAATATGTTGCATATTAGATACTCTTTATTTCTTTAATACCGACTCAAACGGAATCATTGTTTATTTTTTTATTAATCACCGTTTGAAAACAGTTTATAGTGTAACGATTTTCTATTAATAGTTTGAACAAAATGGAATTACCAATTAAATTATTTAATCGTTGTTAATCACCATTTTGTAATGGTGATTAACGTTCGTAATTTGTTTTTTTTTAATCTTTTTGGCGTATTTGAAAATACAGGGTGGGTGACAGAGATAATAAATTGTTTTTTTACATACAGGTTGTTGTATTGAATAAGACAATGTTTGGTTCGCTATCGGATGTTTGCGCGATCCACAGCACGAGAGGAAAATACTGCGTTTTTCGCATGTTTCATTACCAAACTGTTGATTAAGTTTTCGTGCACTATGTTTATGATAGCATATAATTATTCGGCCTCACTCTACTTTACCATTATTTTTGAATTATGATTCCAATGCTTCAATTATCAATAAATGGAAGGCAATTATAAAAGACTGATAAATTCATGTTCTTTAATCGTGTACTAGATTGTGTTTTTATTTTTTCTTGTTTAAATCCACGCCCACTTACTCTTAGGAGGGTTTTCTGTGGCACTAAAAAATATTGTAATGGCTATTTTATAGCTCCACTATTTATCATTGTAACAATTCGATATAGCACTTAATTTACTCTAGATGTGTAAGAAAATAATTACTTTTTTCTTAATTAAGACTTTTTCTTTCACATTGAAAAAATATTAATTAAATTTTCCTTATCATTTAATCGACTTTTTAATTTTAGTTTTTCACTTTTAAAAATCAAAATTTATATTTTTGACTCACCATTGACCGCCAAAATGGCGAAAATCGATGTTAACACAGCAGATCTCATATTCACTTTTATTTTTTAATATAAAATTAAAGATAATTGAGTGGACACTCCAATGCTTCCTGCCAGGCGGCCCGCGGTTTATATACTACACATCCACATCTTCAGCACTGCGTTTTCAATGGCCTAACGCGTCATCGGCGTGAGAATTAACCCTCAAACAATGACACACGGGCTTCATTAGCCACGCGAGTTTTCCTCCAAATTGAACACTTTCTTAAAATTAATTTAATACCCAAAATTTATATTTATTTAGCTACATACGTATATAATAGGTTAAATCCATGAATACAGTTTAATGCCAGTTAAATAACGACTAAGCATTGTGCGACTAAAGGGTATGTAATTGATTTTAATACCTCGCATGCCTCACATATAGGTACTTACGTATATTATTTTTAATACATCTTCACGGTTGATCACTGTTCTACCGATGCAATTTTTGTCGACCTCGCTGTTTCGTCGTTGAACATATGAGCATGAAAATTTTCACCAATGAACCTATTAGTTTTGTTCCGAAAAAGTGAGTTTTATGAAAAGAATTATGTCGGAACTGGGTGAAGAATAATGTGCCAAAAACTCTTCCGCGTAATTAGTATTTTTAATAGTATTCAAGAGACTAAACGCATATGTATTAGCTGCATAATGTATTGATGTATCAGTATTCAGAGCGTAAAATATCTGCATATAATGGGGTTTGATGAACGCGTGTTCTTTAGCATTTTGTTATTGGATTTTAAATAACTAAGTACGTGTTGTATTTCTGGGGTGTGTTCATGTGAAGAGTGTAGATCGCTTACTTATTAGGTATTTTTGTAAACAAGTAATAATGTACGCAAATAATACGACAGTAGAATTTTTATTTATCAAGTTTATGTGGTTGGTCTCATTGTTGCTCAAAAAAATGCTCTAAGAAATAAAATTATTCACGAATATTCATTTATGCAAGTAACATTAATATTTATTTTCATTTTTCATTTATAGAACCTTCCTAAATTCTGTGACCTAAGTATCTATTTGCATCATCAGCATATAAGCAAAAATTGCTTGGCTATGCTATACTTACTATATTTTCAGTCTCATTCATTCAGGGGTAGTTACAACCCAATGTACGATTTTTCATGAAGAATTAATGCATGTTCTTTAGCAGGGTTAAACCTGCACTGCCCAACTGTACGAATGTTTTAAACAATAGATGATAACATAGCGAAGAGATGATGTAAATTATTATTAGGACAGTTGTCATAATAAATCCATTGATTAGAATCAAAACATAGATATTGATTCGAATTATACAGTCTTACATATTTATTCACCAGTGTAATCATTCAATATTGATTGCCGTAATTGTTCGGGTGATCGATTAAAGTCGTAACTCTTTCAATCGTAGCATTTTTAATTTCACCACGTTCATTTATAAAGTTGTTGGATAACGTACTTACTAATCGTTTAATTAGAATTTTATTGCATAGCCAATAATTTTTGGCAAGTTTCAAGAACAAAAATATAAAAAGAAATAGAAAATTAAAGAAAAAAATATCGATATTGTGATAGTATTGAGTACTTAGCAAATCCTTTTAATTTTTGCCATTATGAGGCTACGTAAGCTAATCTGCGTTTTATCCTGAATTGTTTATCCCATGTTTAATTCTATGTTTGTTTTGCTCAACATGAAAGTATTGTAATGACTTAAGTCAAAACATCTAAAAACATTCGTTTGGCCTTGTAAAGTACACTTTTGCCTACCCTGAAAATATTAATATATTTCTATGGCAAGATGACTGAAATCCATTGAAGTATTCTATCTATCTTTCATACGTTATAATTAGTATCATCCTGTTTTAACTGTCTTTTAGAGTCAATGTATAAACCACCATTGGTTCTTTAATTTTTGGCTCCCAAGATGTGGCAACTCTACCGTTCAACGCTATATTATTTCCCATTTTCGTCTTTGAGTAATGTTAAATGAATCGATGACGAGATCTTTGTTGCAAATTGATATTGTCGCCTCATAGTTTTTGTTATTGTTTAACATAGTTATTAATTTAATTACTAAAACTTACGTGTGTCAGTTTCTTTGCATAACAAGCCTATGATACAATGAAAACAAGTTTGTCATGTGAAGACTTATAGGGAATAATGGAAGATAGAAACGTTGCTACTACTCAAAGTGACATGAGCAGGAAGAAAAAGAAGAAGATGAAGAAGATAAAGAGTAGCCAACCTATATTACCATTGGTGTGGTGGTGATTAATGCACAAACCTTATCCGTGCGAGCAGAGGCCTTTGATCTGCAGTGGACACTTATAGGCTGATAACGATGATGATTGCTATAGAATGCTGCACTAATCAGGTACCCTTTGCCTAATCCACGACCCGAAGATCGCAGTTGATCATTCCTGCGACCACTATAATACAATTAGTGTTGTAACAAAGGTAAAATAAATATTGTGCCATCAACTAAAACAAGCCACGCGCTCAAACTCCCCATGCAATAACACTGTTAAAAGGTCTTATAAGTAAATATTATAGTATTAGTACAATGTGCCTTAAGTGTAACAATATGAATTGCATTGTTCCTTAGTATACCTATATTTTGATTTGATCCCGAGATTATACAATCGAGATATCGCACTGCATCTGTGTTTTTAATAAAGGAAAACGGTTTATAAGCGACAAGGAGTCGGTTTTTCTTTATGAATCTAGCAAATCAGCAGACAAATTACCTAATGATAATAATCAGCATTGCCTATGGACACCGTGAAACACCAGAGGAGTAGCAAGAGCGTTGTCATTGTCAAGCCTTTTGGGATAAGGAGCGGACATATGGCGTACGGTAGATTAACTCACATTTAGCGAAGGTAAGGTCGGAGTCGCGGAGAACCTAACGGGTTACCGGGGCTCCGGCTCGAAGCACAGGAGATGAAACGGGGTGGTTTTTAGTTAGTAAAAGTCTGACACTCCCTCCCGCCTCACACAAGCGGGGTGATTTTACCCCGTTAAAAAAAACGAAGGTAAGGTAATTGTCAAATTGGCACGTAACACTCATATGGAGCCCTATAATTTTTTGCGTAGGTAGGTATATGTAGATAGATATCTGAGATAACTAGGTGAAATGAAACGCAGTTTTATTTTAATTTATTTTATTTTTTATTAAAGAGGTTTCAGTTTTATAAAATCGTCTCATCAAACTTCGATAGAAGAGCTGCGTATCGTTTTGTTATAAGTCTCATTTAATTAATCAAAGCGATCATCGAATCATACCGAATAAATAAGCATAGGAAATGGCGTAAGTCGTTAGGATTCCAGTCTCTATGAATCAAACAACTCGTAGTAAACTACTGTCGTTCTTGTCTTGAGCTACAGATTTAATGATTGAAGGGATGCTTTTAAAACTTTCGCAAAAATTTGACGCTATTCCAAATTTAAAAAGTTTAACTTTAGTTTTTTAGTCACGTAGATATAGATAATAGGATAGAAACGACACTATTGCAATATACTAGGTATTATTCTAGGACCTACTCATTGTTGTTGTTGATTTTTTTTTAATAAAACCGTACCTAAATATTAACAGTGGTGTACGCTGAGATCAATTTGTAAACGCGCTATTTGACAAATAAGGCAGTCTTTTGGGTGAGTAGATGATAGGGTTGCATTTATTAATGCTAGAAAAGTTAAGTATGCAAAAATACAGTACCTGTTTAAAAAAAATGTTTCACTGCTCTAGGGTTTTCTCCTGTGTCGTGGATACGTTTACAAACATACAAATTCACATACACATGACACCCGACCCGAAACGACAATTTGTGGGTGACACAAAGTGTTGTTCCGTGCGAGAATCAAACACGCTGCACGGCAGCCGATTACCCAGCCACCACACCAACCGTGCAGTCATTTAATTTATAGGTCACTTTATAAGTTGCGTAATTGCATAAATCAGGTACGATAACTAGGTCGCTGACGGTAAACATGCATTGATTAGGCCTAGATAGAATCATGTGTCAGCAATTTAGTATTCGCTACTACTGCTAATAACAAAAGCTAAATGAGCAAACTACCTGGTTCCTGTCGTATAGAAAGAAAGAAAGTAACATTACATTACACAAGATTTAAAATAAATACTGTAATTAAAAATTAAATATATGTACAACATATATAATATTAATGATTAAATCACCTATTACAATACACATATTTAAATATATAACGAAAAAAAAATATTAAAATAAATGTTTACTATATAAATATATAAAACTACATAGAATATATAAGTTCATTTATAAACATTTTCATAAATAATACTAATAGCATTACAAAATAAATTGAACAAAACAACTACTTATAACAACTAGTAATAAAAAATCTGCGATACATAATCTAAATAAAATTAGCGTCCTCCTCTCTTCTACGTTGCCGTGCCCTACAGGGTCCATACTGTACTATATTATTATGTAACACCTTTTAAACATATGGAGTGCAATAAACGTATTGAGTATTGAGTACATAATGGCTGAGTGGTTAAGGTGGCCGCTTCTCGAGCATCTAACCATTTACCATAAGATCTGCAAGAAGTGTGTTGTCCCTTCTTATTGAGGGTTTAGTAACCAGCAGCTGTAGCCAAATGCTATTTAGCGCTTGTCTACTTGTAGAATAGAAAACCAAATTATATGGAATTGACGTAAATTTTGACACTTGTCAGTGTCATCCCTATACATTTAGTTTTCTACTCTCTCTGTAGACAAGCGCTAAAGTGGCGTTTGGCTAAAGCCATAATATTGTCCAAAATAATCTCAAACGTTATGCCTATCTATAAAATAGCGGTAACTGTAACTTCAAAAACATCAAATAATGTTTTAAATAGTATTGTCATACATTTAATACTGTGTAGCACTATTACACGCCAATAGCTAAGCACAATCGTTCATTGTTTCTGATCCTTACTCAAAATATTACTTAGACTATTTCTAAAGGGAATTGTTTCAGTTCACAGTTGATATTTATTCACATCATCTATTCGTTTCTATTGGTGTTTTCTTCAGAACAATTCTCGGTTTAATAATGAC